TGGAAACAATGATTGCAAAGAACAAGAATAATGATTATTGGCATCAATTGGATCTCATATACAAACAGATCAATGGATTAGAAGAAGGATACAAAGTATGGAAAGTCGAGAATAACATTAAAAATACTACCGAAAGACAGTATTTGACTGAAATATTTTGGATAAACGTTGGCTCAGAAATGTTTAATTTGCAAAAAATCTTAACTCCAAACTCAACGGTTCCATATCGAGGTCATTGTTCAGCAATTGTCAAACCACTGGCCGATGGCAGCGACCTATTTGTTGCTCACAATACTTGGAGTGGTTTTCAAACAATGCTAAGGATTCTGAAGAAATATAGCTTTGCTTTCAATACATTGCAATCAAATCATACGAAACGAATTGCTGGACATTCCGTGTCCTTCTCTTCATCTCCAGGTTTTATCTCCTCTGGGGATGACTTCTATGTTTTGTCTTCAGGTCTTGTGGTTCAGGAAACCACAAATCAAAATAAAAACCAATCCCTATATCAACACATAAAAGCAGATAATATACTCTTTGAGTTCATCCGTAATGTTGTGGCCAATCGTTTGGCCGAATCGGGCAAAGAGTGGACACAACTGTTTGGTCCGTATAATAGCGGGACTTATAATAACCAGTTTATGATCGTTGACTACAAGCTCTTCAAAAAGGGAACAAAAGTCACTGAATTGGCCGACAATTTGCTGTGGGTTTTGGAACAGATGCCGGATATCATACACTCGGCTGATGTGACTCCTATACTCAGAGCACAGGGCTATTGGGCCTCTTATAATGTGCCATATTTTCAAGATATTTACCAATTGAGTGGTAACGAAGACTTATTCCGCAAATTCGGACCCTATTATAGCTACAACTCGACGGCTCGGGCGCTGATCTTCAAGAGGGAAGAATCAAAAGTAACTGATTTGAAGACATTGTATTCACTGATGCGTTACAATGACTTCAAAAAGGATCCGTTGTCTGAATGTAAAGTATATAACAAG